GTGTGTGTGTGTGTGTGTGTGTGTGTGTGTGTGTGTGTGTCAGGCTCTGCGGGAGGACGTGGAGAGGCAGATGGAGCGAGAACGAGAGCTCCAGCAGAGATATGGAGAGCTGCTGCTGGAGAGAGAGGCTCTGCTCAGCGGCTCTCACAAATACTGACAAACACAGCTGAAACAATCTGCTGAGTCATCGTATCAAACCAACTGTTCTAATAATGCAGGAGATAAGCCCCGCCTCCTTGTGCTGATGTTGCTGTGATGTCACTGGCTGTTCTGAGCATGCTCCATAAATCTGTGTTTCTGTACGCAAATCGTGACCAATAAAGTTTTTCCAACCATGAAATGAGCAGCGTGAAAACTTTTATTATAAGAAGAAAACATTTGACATCATATTAACAACAGCAACCTGCTGAGTCATCAGCAGCAGAGAAACGCCATCCCACCTCTGCTGGAAGACGTCTGAGGAAAGAAAAACTGTTTTAGTTTCACTTCAGTCTGACAGTAGAACCAGTGCAGAACCAGTTCAGAACCAGTGCAGAGGAACATTTTCAACTGTATGCAGTTATCACACAAACTGCATTATTTATCAACATAAGATCATTGTTTAAACTAACATGAAAGAGTGGCTGACATGCTGCTGTGTGTGTGTGTGTGTACGAGTACTTTGTGTGTGTAGTTGTATCTCCTGAGGGCCTCTCTGATGTGACAGGGCTGGATGGCTCCACTGGGCGGCTCCACAGCAGCCGGACAGCTCTGAACACACAAGACATGACATCATCACCAAACACACAACTACAACTGTGACCATATGATGGTTTAACACGGGTTAAAGAGAAATATATAAATATTATGACTGAAATACCCCCATTTTTAAACTCACTGCTATAGCCATGATAATGAAATTAATGACACAATTTATCACAAACAATGATTTTAGAGAATAATTTTAAGTTTATATTGTTTGTTCTTGATTTAGTTTTATTTGTAACAACATGTCATTGTGCCAAGCCTCAACTGCATGTTTAAAACTAAGAACATTAAAAACTGTACCCAGTAAACAGGTAAAATACTGATAACCACCAGCAGTGAGTTTAGGAGGCATTTCTTTGCCTGATTTATTGACAGGTCCACTCATACACTGACATCATACAGCCTTCAGAACATAAACTAACTTATTTATTCATGTATAACACAATCTCATGTATAATACGACGCCCCCTATTTTTATCTTCAAAAGCATAAAAAATGTAATTCTCATACTACCTCTAATTTCATACAGACTCCAGGATTTTTCAGCCTTTGCAGTGTTTATATATATATGTATATATATATAT